TTATATTGCATTAAGTTTTTCTCTGCCCATAAAACTGCAAAACCCTGTTACTGTATGAAAGCAATCTCCTGCAGTTAACAGAGGCAAGCAGCACACCGACAGCGGTCACCCCTCTGGGGTCCAGAGCTCGTGAGACAGACGATCCGGAGGAAGCACAGAGCAAGTCACGTCATGGAGCTTTCCCTGCAGAGAAGAGGAGGCTCCTCCTGTTGCTGCCACTGCCTTTACTTCGCTGCTCAAGAATCTGGGCAAGCCCAAGACAGCTACTTACTACTTCAAGAGGATCAGAGAAGAGACGACTGCCTTTAGTTTTGCCATGAGTGGTACCTGAAGGGCAATGAAGGAGGCAAAGAGCCATTGCCAAGTCAGTAAAGAATGAATTGTTCTCCCAGCCCTGACGGCCTGAGATCAGATTCGCATCTTCCTTCTCATGCATCACCTACCAGTCCCATCACAAAAGCAACTTGGGCTTCAAGGACTAAAAATAACAGTGAAAAAGGCTTTAAAGAACCAGGATGGGAGACTGGAAAGTTACAAGAAAAAAAACCCCAAACTGTTTATTGCCTTTTCTGCAACACACGCATCCACTCCCCCTTCCTTTCCTGCTCTTGTTCCCCCAGAGGTAAGTCCTGTTTAGTTCTCAGTGCCAGGGGACAAGGCAGCACAAGCACTGGGACCATAGAAAAGAACAAGCTCAGCGTTACACCCTCATTAAGGAAGAGAGGAGCTGGAATCCTGCACTGTTCAGCAGAGCTGCCATTCACCTGAGGGACACAAGTCTCCCAACAGCAGCTTTCCAAACTGCTTCACCCCTGAGGCCACCCTGGGCTCCTCCTTCCCTCCCTTGGGCTGTGTGGTGCCTCCATCTGCAGGCAGGGAAGGCAGCTGGCCCCAATCAGCTCTTGGAAGTGGTGTGTGGGAGCTGGATCTCTGCACATCTCACTTCTCTGCCCCAACCACACACACGGCAGAGCGAGGAGAGAGGCCACATGGGAAGGGAGAAGCGAGGCCAGTGTAACAGGGGATGGAAGGGCCAGCAAGTTGTTGCCACTTGGATATGGGCACAACGGTCACACTTGCCTCCTTCTGACCTTGGTACAAACCAGCTGTTGAGTCCGTGTAACACAGCGCTCCTCCCAGGGCTATGAGAAAGGCAGGAGGAACAACTGCTGCACGAGGGACCCTGACACCTAACTGGGGAGGAAAAAAGCATGTCCCCTTCTCTCCTGGCATGGGCAGCTGTGTCAAGAAGGCCAAGGCTCTTTAGGGAAGGGAGAGAACACAGTGCTATGTGTCTGGAAGAGGCAGTTCTGCCTCCAGGGAGATGCAGCTGGAGGGGTAGAGCTGAGCTCCATGCAACCCTACAACATTCC